GCCGCTGGTGCTCCCGCAGCCGCTGGTGTTCCCGCTGCCGCCGCTGGCGAGGGCGGGGACGAGGTCCGGGGCCGCGAGCGCCGCGGCCGCCTCCTGGCCGCTACGTTTGCGCCGCTTCTCCCGGGAAGATTTCTTCCCTGTCATGATCTCTCCGCTGCCACCATCCGCGAACGCCCGACGTCTCTAGGGTATCCGAAGCCGGCACTGGCGGCAGTAGGCAGCGGGCACTGGTGTCGCAGATGGAGCGTCACTTCCGGCTTCGGCGCAGACCCGTGAGGCGCCCTAGGACGCGGCGTCCCGGCCAATCGCGCAGGTCGTGGAGGTTGACTGAGGGTGTAAACTGACCCTTAGGCTGTCTGGCCCCAGGGTGGAGGTGGCGCTTGTCCTTCAGCCTTTAGAAAGGATGGAAGGTGGCGCTTTACAGCAGCACTCTTTAGTGACGCTGCTTTTCAGTTTGTAAATTTAGAAATCCACAGTAAGGTCAAAGTGTACTTTCAGATGCTCTATCTTCATGGCCTCCAAATTTGAATTATGATACTAGTAAGGTTAATAAGGAGAGAATTTAGGGAAAAGTTTACTTTCATCTCGTTATTGTCAGTTGAGCAAAAAAAAAAAAATTTTTTTTTTAATTACCATATGTTAGGGAATTGTACAGGAATGGTGTTTTGTGGCTTCCTGGTTTTTCCCTAACACGAATTTCTAGGTATTATTCCATATTACTGCTAAAGGCATTTGGCTCTAGGATTTCATTGTACTCTTTTTCAATTTCTTTTATGTTCAAGTGCTGTTCTCAGGAAGCTTAAGCTTTTTAGAATAATGCAGCCATAAATAGTTAAGGAAAAAAATTGTATTATTTCCCTTAGGTGTTTCGTACACCCCAAAAGATACTGATCAAAAGACATCACAATCTTATTTTTCTTGTTTGTTTAATCAAAAGGACTGGGTCAATTTAAAATCACACACCCCTCCACTGAAAGCTTTAAAAGTTTTCATAATTTTTAATAATTTTCAAAGTTTGACTTGCATCCCTGATTTACATTGTGCAATACTTTCCCACTGGTTAGAACCCAGTTTCCTCATCATCAAGTGGTCTGGTTATAAGTTTAATCATTTATCAACTAAAATCGGAATGTTAACGTTATCAATGCACATTAATTATTTATGTTGGTAGGGGTGAAGGGTGGGTGTAGAAGATTGTTGGCATGTAAGTGTTCCTATCTTTTCTCCCTTTTTCCCTCAAAAACTGCCTTTTAGGTCAATTGTTTGTTTGTTTTTTAAAGAAGAAAACAAGAGTAGTTTGAGAAGTACTGAGAATGATGCAATCAAAGGCCATTTTGGAAAGGTTTGTTGCAAGAAATGCAGAAGAAAAGGAGCATGGTGTGAGAGTGGAGAGAATACAAGACAATTTAGGGAATATTTCTGGAGATTTATCTATTTCCTGCATAGAGGGCCAAATAAAGGACTTACTTGGTTTTATAAAACTATGTGTCATAGCTTTTTATTATTTATTTTTTATTTATTTTTTTTTAAGTTTTCTGTATGGCACTTGTGCTCGCCAGAGAGAAAGACAAAGACAAAGAGAGGAAAAGTGAGAAATCACCCCATTGGGGGGGGGGTGGTGGTGGTGGTGGCAATGCCACAATCCCTTCTCTATTCTCTCCTTGGAATTTTGGGCACATACGTGCTTGTCAATGTGATTTTTCAAGCCACAGGTCTGGGACTCAACCACGTAGTCAGACATGTGGGATGTCATCTGCTGGCCCTGGGTCATAGCTTTAAGAGTACTAGATTTTGTATGTGAATATAACCTTAACATAACCAGGGGTACATCCAGTCCTAGGGAAAACTGTCTCTAGCCCAAAGCCCTACCCTAACTTTGCCTTCTAACATAAATGCTAAGGCTGAGCCCACTGTATTCTGTCTCTCACTTTGGCACTCTGCTTTCTTCTGCTTTTTTCCTACACTTTTCTTTTTCCTTTTTTTGCCAGAAGGCATGTGTACTTGTCTAAGAGAGAGAGAAAAAAACAGGGAAAGTGAGAACGTACTTGCCATGAGGAGTGGTCACAGGGCCATCCCTTCTCCTCCATCTCTCCCACGTTTTAGGAATTTTTGCTTGCACACACACTGGGCCTATTTCTCAAGCTGCCAAATCCAAAATTCATACCGCATAGCTGGTGATTTGGGATCCAGCCATCTTAACCACCACACCACAAGTTGGCCCTTTTCGGTACCTTTATCACCAACACACGTATATTTGTCTCTTTTCACTTGAATGTAAGTTCCATGAAAGCAAGGGCTTTTTGTTTTCTGCTATATAACCCAGTACCATACTGTGTTTAATAAAAATTTGGCACATAGTAGACTCTTTTTTTTTTTTTTTTTTTTAGAGGTTTTTGCTATAGGGTATGTGCATTCACCAGAAAGACAGAGAGAAAGACAGACAGAAAGCAAGAAATCACCCCCCAGGGGGAATGGCCATGCTGCAATCCCTTCTCCTCCATTCTCCTCTCAGGACCTTGGGCACGCACGCACATACCCCTGGAGTGAGTTTAAGCCCCCCAGTCCAGAACTCAAACCGCTGTCGACTACCTGGGAGTCCAGCCACATAGCCATTATGCCAACTGCTGGTCCCCATAGTAGACTCTTAATTAAACTTAGTTGCATGAGAGGCCAAGGGTAAAATGTGAAGTTTCACAAGGCTGATCCACATGGGAAGATTTCACATTTGCCTCCAGAGACGACCTTGAGTATGCTGGGCACATATGTGCCCATGATCCAGGGTTGGCTGAGGCTGGGTGTGGATCATGACATCAAGAACCTGATGCAGGAGCTGTCTCTCTAATGGAAGAAATAAAAAAAAAAAACTTTAAACTTAAAAAAAAAATAGTCAAGGGGGGCAGCAGGTAGTGTGAAGATTAAGGTGTTGGATCCCACACGGTTGACTGTGCAGTTTGAGTTCTAGACCTGGTGGCTTGAAAATCATGCTGGGTGCATGTGCATATATGCATATGTGGCTGAGATCCCAAGAGGAGAAAAGAGAGGGGATTGTGGCATGGTCATCCCCTCTGGGAAGTGATTTCTCACTGGCAAGATCACTTGCCCTATAGCAAAACTAAAACTAAAACTAAAACTAAATAAATAAGGCAAAAGAATAATTCAGATGGAAAACCGTATTTACACAAAATTATATGAAGTTACTATTACTAAATCATGGCAATAAAAACCCTAAATTAATGGCTTTTTTTTTTTTTTTAATGGAGAAGGGATTATGGAATGGCCATCCCCTGGCAGGTGATTTCTTTCTTTCCGATTGTCTTTTTCTCAGGCAAGCATAGGCTCCTGTGGCAAAAACTTTATTTATTTATTATTATTTTTTAAAAAATTTATTTATTCATTTATTTTAATTTGACTAGAGAGAGAGGGACACAGAGAGAGAGTGAGAAAGCAAGCTGCCAGATCCAGGACTCAAACCATGGTCAGCCATTTGGGAGTGTCCAATAACTTAACCACCATGCCACCTGCTGGTCCCATCTTTCTTTCTTTCTTTATTTTTTTTTAAATCGTTTTGACATAGGGCATATGTGCTGTCCCAGGACAAAGGGAAAAAGAGAAATTACCTCCAGGGAGAATGGCCATGCTGGAATCCCTTCCTTAATGTGCAGCCATATGAATGTACTGTGCCAGAATCAGCCAATCAAAAGCTTGTAACTACTCAGCTAAATAAATGCTGTGTGTGTGTGTGTGTGTGTGTGTGTGTGTGTGTGTGTGTGGGGGGGGGGGGTGTTTGCGTGGCTGCCATTGGTCTGAAGCTGGGGATGCACAGTATCACTGTAGCTATAGTTTGTTTTTTTTTTTTTTTTTTAATTTGGTAGAGTGTGAGTGCACTCTCTGGAGAGAGAAAGAAAAAGGACAAGTGAGAAATCACCCCCAATGGAGGATGGTCGGACTACAATCCCTTCTCTTCCATTTCTTCTTTTGGAATTTTGGGTACACATGCCGGTGTTTTTTTTTATCTACTAGGTCCAAGACTTGAACTGCACAGTCTGCCTTGTGGGATCCAGCAACTGTAACCACTATGCCACTGGGTTTGTAATATCTGGAACCCCTTTCCCTATATTTCTCTGCTAACCTTAAGAAGTCTTCAAAATTGGCTTGATATTGCCACTATTCAGTCAATGCACAGAAGACTTATGAGAAATCTGGAGATTGTTGCTATGGCTGTAGTATGAGTAGAAATTATTTTTATAATCCAGCAGAAATACCTTTATTTCATGGTGAGGTTCTGGGGCTTTAGAGGATGTTTAAAAGTTTAAGGATGTTTGGGACCAGCAGTTAGCGTAATGGCTATGTCGCTGAACTCCCATGTAGCCAACCGCAGTTTGAGTCCCAGACCCAGTGACCTAAACTCTTGCCAGGCGCGTCCGCGTTGTGTGCCCAAGATCCTGAGAGGAGAATGGAGGAGAAGGGATTGCAGCGTGGCCATCCCCCCTGGGAGGTGATTTCTCGCTTTCTCTCTGTCTCTGTCTGGTGAGTGCACGGGCCCTGTAGCAAAAACCTCTCAAAAAAAAAAAGTTTAAGGATGTCTGTACTTAAATTCTAAATAATTTTTATAAAAATGCACCAGTGTGAACTCCTGTAGGCATTCTCCCCAGTAAAAATAAAATTATTTTCTTCTTTCAGATGTTTTTTGTACACGGCATGCTATTATCATCATTGCCAGAATTCACGTACACTTGTGTGTAGTGGGAGAGCACCTCCCAATGGGGCATGGTCATGAAGCAATCTTTTGCTCCTCCCATTTCTCGATCCTGTCAGGATTTGGGGCACACGTGCACCCAGCATGTTTTTAAAGCCTCTGGGTCTGGGATTTGAGCCACAGTTAGCCATGTGTGGTCTGGCTCACTATGTGCAGAACTTAACTGCTGCCCTATGGGACTGACTCTCGATTAGATCCCTTCAAAACAAAATGCATAAAAGGTATTCTTAGGGCATCGAGAAAATTTCAAGTATGGATCAGATATCAAATATGTAATTACTAATTTTCTGAAGTATGATATTGTGTTTAGAAAGAATTTTCTTTAAAATGCATTTCTTTAAATTTGTATATTGAAGTATCTAGTTGATAAATGTGATATCTACATAGTAGTTGTAAATAATTTCAAAGGGAAGTATAAACTGTATAAAGATAAAGGAAACATGACAAAATATTAACAATTGTGCTTTAGTTGACAAGTCTATGGATAT